ATGTATGTATGTATGTATGTATGTATGTATGTATGTATGTATGTATGTATGTATGTATGTATGTATGTATGTATGTATGTATGTACGTATGTACGTATGTCCGTACGTACGTACGTACGGACGGACGGACGGACGGACGGACGGACGGATGGACGGATGGACGGATGGATGGATGGATGTTTGACAATAAAAAATGAAAGGGATAGTCTGGTCACTTTTCAAGTGATGTTTTGCCAAATAGTTATCACTAGTTAGTACTTTATCTGCTGTGATGGCACAGATAACGTAGTATGAATAAAAGAGCAGATATTATATTCCAGGTTAGTCTAATAGCTTGTTTTCTTGTTTGGACATCCGTGTTCTTTGACTGATACCACTGCTGATAAGGTACTACATAATTACAGATCACCATTTGACAAAACATCACTTCAAAATCTTCATGCCAGTAAAGAGGAAAAAAATAAGTTCATTAAATTTGTTAAGATGGGACTCATAATGCAGGCACCGGATTCTGATGTCATGATAAAATACTAAGAAAATCGCAGTCCCGTCCCAACCCCGACTATTAACACCATACAACAACATGGCTGTTTGTTCATCACTTTGTCAAGTTCAAAAGTAGGAATCAGACCAATAAATCCCTCATACACTTGAGATTGTGATTTAAATTATGTCATACTTGTAAAGAATATTGTTATTTTTAAATGTAAGACGTGTGTGTATGTGTGTGTGTGTGTGTGTGTGTGTGTGTGTGTGTGTGTGTCTACAGGAAGGAATGGATAAAAAGTTCCTCATTGTGCAACTCCAATACCTTCATGAGCAGGGTTAGTTGTTTCTACTCAGGTATGGTGAGTTTATACCTCACTGCCATGTTTAGCCTTGTATTTCATTGTTTCAGTGATCTTATCGCTGAGAGAAAAGCATTTATTCCTGGACTGTCATTCATATGAAAACGTTTTGTTTATTTCCTCAGAACGATGACGTGCTTCTTCTCCTCAGCATAGACATACCGACACTGAAGGAAAATAAAAGTAAAATAAATAACTGATGAATGCAAAGTCCTCATCTATTTCATGATCTTGAACGAAAAACAAAACCAGCCACTGTTTATTCTATTAGAGAGCTGGGTGTCTTCAAATATTATACATTTTACATGCAACTTTATATTTTTTAACATTTTTATGGCTTATGAACAGTATTTGTAAACATTTATTTAAAGAAAAAATATTTGAGCGCATAATGTGCTTCAATGACAAACATGGCTTTAAACAGAGCAAGGATTTTTGTAATTTATCTGACAACACAGAATAAAAACAAGTCTGGTCTGGGATTTCTAGTCATGAATTGTTCTGGTAATATTTCAGCGACCCGACTTTTCCTGTGAACTGTGAAATTTGAGATGATATTTATAAGGGTTCTGAATCTAAAATGGTTTAAATGTGGTTTAATCAATCAAAAAAAAAAAAAAGAGAATGTTTGACAAATGATTTAAACCCTATATTCAGATTAGAACAGTTCAAGGAAAATGTATAAATTGAGAAACGATTATTTTTTTTTATTTTTTGGAAAAATCGTGCATTTTTATCTAGCATCTAATATTAAGTAGTTGTTTTAAATTATCACGCCTTATTTTGTGTTGGGTTATTTAAAGTGTAATTACATTGTAGGAAATCTACATCATTTCCCCGTTCTGTTATTAATGAATGAAACCAAAATGAAAGCAGCTGCTGTCAACTAAATGAAGTTTAAACTGTAAGTCAGCCGGACGGTTTTGCATCTTTAAAACTAATAAGGAGTCCTTTCATCACACTTCTCCCGATGTTCCATAAATCTAAATATAATGTGTATAGTATTGATATTTGTCAAAATGCTAAGCTTGAAATTTGTTATCTTGGCAACTTAACTGACTTATTCCTGTTAACTCTGATGTCATGCTTCAAAGCAGCGCATGCACCATGCCACCTCCATGCTTCATGCCCCACTTCCCCTACACAAAACAACAAAAACATTTTTGTCTTGGCTGCTAGTCAAGTGACATGGATCCAGACCAAAAAATTCTTCTTGTGAGTTTCAATTAGAAGGAAAACTAAAAGTAGGAGGAGACACTGTGGTGTATAAAAGTGTTGAAACTCCCTCTGCACATCAAATTACTCAGAAGACAGAGACAGCACATCTCAGTCATGACCTCCGGTAAGTAAAAAAAACTATTTACTTCATGTTTCATTTGTATTTTTTTTTTTCTGTGCATGCTGGTTAAAAAGTTGATCTAACTTGTGCTCCTTGCAAAAGTCAAGATGACAGCACCTAAGAAAAGAATCTACATAAGTAGCCCCAAAAAGTACATTAACGGACTATCTGATGCCTTTAAACTGGTAAGATTTCTTTAACGAACTCCTAAATTAAAGTAAATTATGTATTTTTATTAAGCTCTGCATTTTGTATTTTTAACAGGACCACGGATTGTTCATAACAGAGCTGAACCCCAATATAAATGAAGGATATTTGCAGGCTTACTTTAAAGAACTGGGATTTGACACAATATGTAAGGTAATTTAAAGGGCGTGCTTTTAGTGCCTCTTTGTTTTAAATAAATTGTACATGTATTTTTAAAATAAAACAACACTTTTCATCACATTGAAATTCTGTTTTTCTGTCTAACTTGATCCCAGATCTGGAAATTGCATAACACTGGGACCAGCATGTCCGTGGCCTTTGTTCGGTTCTTTACAGAAGAGGAAGCAGACCGAGGAGACTGGGCTGGTCCACACTGCATTGCTGGGACAGAGGTGAAGTCCAGAAGAGTTGTCAGTCCAAAAGTGAGCGGAAGCCAGTGCATTTTTCCTTCTGCAAGATTAAACCTGTGCATTTGCTGTTTGCTTCCTTCAGATAATTAAAAAAATGTTTCTCGCAGGTTGAAGACGAATCAGAGGATGAGATTAAGATTAATTCTTAAGTTTCAAAGAAAAGAAGTCTGAAGTCATGTTGTTCCCTCCCAACGAGACTATCACAAACCACTGCATCGACCTTTCCACTCTAGTCCTGTCAGAAAAACAAAGAGTCACTAATGTGGAAGTGATAATGGACCCTTCCCTGAAACTTAACAGTCATGTAAACATGATTGTTAAATCATGCTTCTTCCAGCTGAGGCGGCTGTCTAAACTGAAGCCCATATTGTCCAAAAATAACCTGGAGACAGTAATACCTGCATTCATTACATCTAGGCTTGATTACTGCAATTCACTCCTGTTTGGTATCAGTCAGACCTCCATTGCACGACTACAACTGGTCCAGAATGCAGCAGCCCAGTTTTTAACCAGTACAGGCAAAAGAGAGAACATTACACCAGTTTTGGCCTCACTGCACTGGCTACCAGTTCACCTTCGAATCCAGTTCAAAATACTCCTGTATGTCTACAAATCACTGAACAGTTCCCCCCATCTCTCTGATCAGCTACAACCGTATGTCCCACCACGTTCCCTGAGGTCAGCGGACCTTAAGCGCTGAGGGGACAGGGCCTTCTCTGTAGCAGGACCAAGACTTTGGAATGAGTTACCTCTGCTTGTCAGACAAGCCTCCTCCCTCTCGGTTTCAAATCCTGTTTAAAAACCCACTACTATTCAGTAGCTTTCAACACCAGATGATCTGTGTTTTGAACCTGTTTGCTTCACACGTTAGTTGTCATATTTATTATCTGCATCGTTTTTATGTCTATCAACATTTATTTATACAGGTAAATCCCTTGAGCCTCGAGGACTCATTTACAAGAGAGACCTGATTTCAACAAAGAAAGATGACAACAATGGACAACAGCAACAACAATAAACAGTTATAAAAACTCATACTACAGTTTTTTTTTTGTTTTGTTTGTTTGTTTTTAACAAATAGGATGGCTAAAAGGAAAAAGGTAACAAAACAAAAAAACAGCTAGATTCCAAGACAAATGTAGAAAACTAAAAACAGGAACATGTCAGCATTGGACCCTGCCAGGAGTCCAACAGATTCTTAAAGACACTTAGAGAGAGTCTATATTCTGATTTACTTCATTTTGTATATTGCTTTGTGTGTTACCTGTTGTTCTGTCTGTACAGCACTTTGGTTGACCGTGTCGCTGTTTTTAGTGCTTTATAAATAAAATGGTATGGTATGATATGGTATTAAAGCAATTGCATCTAAATGTCCGCCTCATTTTCCAGTGGGTGTGGGTTACGCACTGTCCCATGGTTAGAAGAAGAAGAAGAGGACCAAGACATAAACCACTCTGCTGTTTAGGATAACACGTGCCATGTAAAATTGAATATAGACTTTGAAAACTTTAGAAATATGCTTTTTAATGTCTTATCAAAATCCAAACATATTTTAATCTGCTCTTTGTGTAGTGATATGATTGTAACTTTGTAACTTTGATTGTAAATACTATATTCTCTAAATAAACTATGCATCATACAGTCAAACATGCAGAATCACTGTGAAAAGTTACAAGTAGACACACTGAGTTTGAAACATTCACAGTGGATTTAACTCCATTTCTTCAAATAGTTTGTAATTTACCAAGTAAGACAAAAAAATAACCGAGTTTAAAGTTTCTAAAATAAATAGTAAAATGTTTTTGAAAATATTAACATACTGTAATGTGAAACATTATTTGGACGTGGTTACGTAAAACGTGCCAATGACGTCACTCACGAACAACCAATCCCAGCGTAAAGCGCGTTTCTTTGGTATGAAAACATGGCGGCTAAAGAGGAAGAAGCTGGTTTTAGAAAGGTAAAAGAAACAAATATCGTTGTCATTACTGTGTTAGTTTTCGTTTATTTGTGTATATACAAAATAAGTTTGCCTATTCTGCAGCTAGCTTATTTTAAGTTTAGCGTCTACACCTCATCGTTCATTGTTTACTTGAAACACGGTATGTAAAACCTGACATCACATCTCGGTAAACATTCATAATATTCAGGTGATTAACACGAAATTTATGTGCGCCGAATCAAAGACTATTCCGTAAAGATTTACGGATTTGTTTTGCATTTGCTGCATTCCATAAAAGCGCTTAGAAATTCAGCCGATATTTTAGAAACGCTCCTTTTTTCAAGCTGGTTTCGTGGGCGGAAAATCTAGTTCTACGAAGAACTTTCAAAATAAAAGCAGCGAGCGGAAATAAGTAAATGTAGAACAGCTTTGCTTATTTTACACCTAAATAAATTCACTTGTTTACTAGATAACTGACACAAGCAAATAATCTTGCTGAAAGATTAAAAAAACAATTATAGCTGTAAATTCACTGTGTAAAATTATGCCATTTATTCTTTCAAACAGGAAACTGTAGTCAAACTTTTATCAAGCTTCTTTAAAGAGGACAAAACTAAACGTGAGTTGGGTAACTGTGTTGTTGAATCTTTTCTAGTCTGTTTTTATGGCTAAGCAAGCCTTGCTTTGTGTTACAGTAAGTGGTGATGCTGCACTGCTCATGTCAGAAATGCTAAAAGTTTTTGTACAAGGTAAATATTTTGTGTAAATTAGTTGTATGTATAAAAGGCCGCAGTGTTTAAATGTTCATAAAAGTCTTGTCATTCCCAGAGGCAGCTGTGAGATCACAGAAACAAGCCGAATCGGAGGACTGCAATCAAGTAGAGATCGAGCATTTTGAAAAAGTTCTGCCACAGCTGGTATGCAGCTCAACAAGCTAAACCTTTTTTGGCTTTTTGATATTTAACAGGCATGCATCTTTATTATTTTGTGTAAATATAGCTTTTGCAACATTTTATATAATCTTTGTCACCTTTTAAACATAAAACGTTTACACAAACGTTCCTCAAAGGGATGGGGAACATTGTGATTAAATATGACAATACAATGGCAACATTTCATCAACAGTTAGATGTAGCGCACAGATTAATATTAGATGACAGCAGAGTTGGTCATTTCATCTAAGTTACCAATCTGTCTTATTCTAAGTTTTGCATTGTTGTGCAGATCTATGACAATTAATGTTGGTGTTGTGGTATATGACAACCAGTTTGTTGGTATAATTTGACTTTTTCTGTCTGAAATCTACAAGAACAAGTTGTGCTTCTTACCAACAATTAACTAAAAATGCAGTAGCTTATGAACTAAACTGCTGTTATCGTTGTGATCTAACTATGCTGAAAGAGATCCTCCTTGTGTTTTTTAAAAACTCTTTCAGCTCAATATAGCTGGCAAAGAAAGAAACAATGCTACTCAGTACACACCTCAAGTCTCTTAAGCTCCCCTAAAATCAGGTTTAGGTTTAATTGTTAATGTTTTGTTGTAAAATGTGTCAGTTGTTCAATATTGCACAACAATTTAACATATCTCTATCAATTTTAACATGTTTTTTTCTTAATAAATAGTCTGATTTTACTATCATACAGCTATGCATTTCTCTCCATTGCAGCTTCTGGACTTCTAGGACCACCACAAGATGGCGCCAGAATGCTGCCAACATATTTCCACACTTTTTTATTTTGCAGATACTTTTTTTTTGTTTGTTTTATTTAGATATAGCTGAAATTTCATGATTGCCCCAAATCTAAGATTCATCATTTTGTTTTCATGTTTTGTGATGTTTTAAGTTGAACGCAGCAGTGCTGTCCAGTCACCTCCCCACCACTTTCACCAACAAGTGCCACCTGTGCTCATCTGTGGAACAACAGGTGCTTCCAGCATGCTCCATGGCGCCCTTCATCAAAGCGTCCAGGAGCAGTTGGAAGCAATTAGAGTAATAAGGGGAGCAGCCAGTCCCTTAGATGATGACAAGTGCCAGGAAAAAAGGAGTACCCCCTCCGGCCACTTTGAAGTTCCCTTTTGCTGTCCTGCGATGTTTGGTTAGAGGTAGGGGGAAGGGCAAAGGGGAGCTCTGGCACAGGGGGGAAAGTTGAATTGGAGTGTGTGTATGTGTGTGAGAGCGAGCGAGAGAGCGCCTGCATGCTTGTATGTGTGCATGCGTTAGCCAAACATGCCCAGAGACCACACGCATAGATATTCTGTTTGAAAGGAAACATAACAAAACACATTGGAACATGGTCCAAGAGGAGCATGGTGTAATTCTGAAGGTAAATAAACAAAAGAGGCGAGTAGCAGAGATGCTTTCTCTACTTTCATCACTGCAGAGAGGGTGTGGGGGGGTTAGGTCTTTTAAGAGAGAGGCTAATGTGGGGTTTCCTAACCCAAGTGGCTCTTATGTTGTTCCACCAGCGGTGTATTTGACCGGTGTCTTTACTGAGTCAGCATAGCTGCAGAACACCTCACTGTTTATTTGTGTGGCTATTGGGTGACTCACTGCGCTTATGTACAGCTGGAAGCAACTTAAGCGAAAGTTAAGAATCCAGGATCAACTAGGTGTTCAAGGACGCAGCACCTGGAATTTGACCTAGCACCTTTTTTTTTTTTAAAGTAAGGTCCAGGTTGGGTTTGTGTTTCCCAGGGGTGATTTCTAAAGCAGATCATAGAACGAGTTGAGTTTAGATGAGTGAGGTTTGGTTTAATGATGCCATGAACACTGCAAGGCCAGAAAACTGATTATTGTTCGATAAAGAATTTAATTTGTAACATTCTTGACTATACTCTAAAAAAGCCCGTTTTAAATATCAAAAGCTGCATTGTTGTTTACATTTTTGCACATTATTAGAGGAAGCATATGTTGAGGAATTTGGACTTCACAGCTAAAATCTGTAGGCTTTGTAAAAGTAATTGTTTTTTTTTTTGTTTTTTTATCCGACATGGATTTTTCCAAAGTGGTAACTGTTGCACCTCAAAATAAATCTCGTATTTCCAATAATTTTTTTTCTGTCTCCTCTGAAGTATGAGCTGTTGCAGGATTCTGTGCTGGCATCGCAGAGCACTACTGTACGACTCTTCTCCTTACGCATCCTAATGGAACAAATTACATGTGAAGGCAGCATTTATTAAACATACGAAAACAGTTAGGACAAGAATGGGGAGGGGCACTCTTGAAAGTAATGAGTTAAGGCTTTTCTTGATCATACATTAAAGGCTGGGAGTGTCGACAGCTAGTCCAGACGTTTTGGAGAAGCTCTAAAGTGAGTCGTCTTTCCCAGGAGATGAAGGCTGAGCCGTCTCCAACCTTGCTGGGTTTTTGGACAACTCTGCAGTCAGAATGAGAATTTCAGTCTTCCATGGAGATACTGATCTGGTGGTAGTCATACTGGCTTTACAGTGTAAGGCAAATGTACTTCCATCTAGGGATGCACGATATTGGATTTTTGGCCGATATGTTAAAACTTATTTGGCCGATAATCGATGCCAATACCGATATTTTATATACGTTCCTTTGTCAGAACATAGCCCTCTTATTTAGGCTTATTTGTTATAAAATTGTGCAACAGCTGTAAGAGCTGGTGACATATATTCAGTAACAGCCTTATGATATGCATTGACTTTGACTTATATTAAATGAAAAGTGTTAAATGTTATTTATTAGCATTAGTCATCTGCAACGCTGTCTCACTTGTGGAGGCTTGTTCCAGTCGGGTTCCTAGCTGCAGTGTGGGATCCTCTGCACTCCTGTTCATAAAGGACAGCCTTTTTAAGTTCAAAGTGTTTGTCTCTCCATTGTGCCGTAAAACTTCATCATGCTAATGGGGCTAACACGGTGTCCAAATGTCTGTGGTAAAACTCACCCAAGTCATGCTATCAGCTATTAGCTTCTCAATGACATTGGAAATGACGGCTTGTAACTCGGGTAACGTTACGTCAGAAAAAAATATCCGACTGGGGACGATGTAGCGAGGCTCAACGTAGTCCATAAATCTTGGGAATCCGACATCCTCGCCAACGAAAAATAAAACTTCCACACCGCCGACATTTTGAATTTTCCTCTCTGCCGTGAGATTAGGTAGGCGCACATGACGTCATCGCTTACGTTGCCGCTGCAACATCACGTTGTGCTGCCGCTGCAGGCAAAAACAGCACCTTTTATATCGGCGAGTTATTTTAATGGAATGGCCGATATTGAACTTTAACACTAATATCAGCTGATACCATGCGGATAATATTGTGCATCCCTACTTCCATCTATCTGTCCATTTTCTTTTACCCACTTCTTCCTTTTTGGGTCACTGGTGCCTGTATCTAGCAGTCACTGTACAAAAGGTGAGGGACACCCTGGACAGGTCACAAGTCCATCACGGCTACTTAAAGACAAACAATCATTCTCACTCACACCTAGGGATAATTTTAGAGTTGCCAATCAGCCTAACATGCATGTTTTTGATCTGTGGGAAAAAACCAGAGTACCTGGAAAAAAGTCAAGTCAGATTTATTTATATAGCACAGAAAATCCACCTGTACACGGAGATAGCATGCAAACTCCACCCAGAAAGATCCCCAGCCAAGATTTGATCTAACGACCTTCTCGCTGAGAGGTGGCAGCTCTACCAACTGTGCCGTCAGCAAATGTACTTGCCAAGATTATTCCAATTTTTTTTATGGTGTTAAACTTTAAATAAAATAATTACCCTGGTGTGTCATGGACATCATCTAATCTTTCATAACATATAAAAAATGTTTTGAAGAAACCTTTAGGTCTCTTCTTTGAAGATGTGATATACTTGAATTGAAATTGAATGCAAAATTTCAGTGAGGTATGACTTCACGATGCATCAAAATGTTTGGAGTTGTCTAGATGAAGCGTCCCTGTGAGGATATGTTGGGATCAGAGCCGATTCTCCTCCACACCAACTTGTGCTTGCAGTTAGTTTTTACAAGATTGACACAGTTTCTTGCATCTCTCCAACTTTCTGTCATCTCAGAACTTCTTTCTTCTCGTATCCAAATTGACGTTCTATGAAAAGTCAACTTAATACACACATTTTCTGCTACTGCTCGATGTAGCAGCAGTGAAAAGCCAAAGTGTATGAGCTGCACCAGAGCAGTAGATTCATGACTCATAAAACAACCACTTTTGCATTCTGATTACCAAAGCTACAAGTTCACTTATATCTATGAACCTGTACCTTTTTAATGTTCATCGCCAGAAGGCGAGACAATAATATGTGTTTGTGTGTCTGTTACCAAAGTATTTCATGAACCACTTGATGAATTTTGACGAAACTTGCAGAAAAAGTAATTGGCTGGACAAACATCTACAAATGATTATCTTTTGGAGTCATCCCAAGTCAGGATCACTGTTGCAGCCAACTGACCTTAAAGACACAAAAATAAATATAACAATTTTTTACTGATATTGACCTAAAAGTTGCTATGGTAGTAGCCGAAAATCGATTACAACACACTTTTAGTGTAAACTCGCACATAATGTTATTTTCAAGGTTTGATTTAAACTGCTATTACACCGTCCATTCTCACAAGATGATCTTAGTCAAAAACTGACATGAAAGGCAGTGGGTGATATGCATTCCAATGCTAAACCTTGAAGCATTTTTTTCTCTTCAATTAACCCCTCTGTCCTTAGACCAAAGACACCAGGAAATCCCAACGCTTGGTGAAGCAACAGGTGTCAACTGCCATAAGAGTTACTTTTTCCCCCTCATCATTTCAGCAGCAAATATAGAATTAAAAAAATGCCTAGCATGTGTTGTGGACTTTGTGCTCGTGTGAATGTTGTGCTTAAAATGGGGGCTGTGATGCATTAGTGCTTGGGATACAGGGGCCCCTTGTGGCCCCCTCACGGGCATGGAACTGTCTAACCATGTAGGAATGCTGCAGGGGATGCAGAGTTTGTGCATTCCTCTTAGATGCTCCACACGAGACTCAACACATGAAAATTCACTTGTGTTTATACATAGACAAACAAACCACTGCTGCAGATGCGTTGTACCAAGAGCTTGCATGTGGAGAGAATGCAAATATGGGGATGGCATCCCTGCTTAACTTAAGTATTCATCGAGGACATGGACTTTTGGGAGACCTCGGGCCTCTCATAAGGAGCCTGGGATCCTTGGGTCAAGAAGCCACGAGGCCAGCGCTGGGGATGATTAGAACATACCTGCAGTTTAAGCCACTTGGGCGCTCTGCTGGGATCATTCCTAAATGTTTGTGGCGCTTGGCTGTTAGTCTGAGGCTGGCAATGGTCTGCTGCTGTGCTTCGTGGATCGTCCAGAGCTTTGCAAGCCACGGGGGACGGAAAGGACTCTTCCGGAACCAGTGAGGTGGATGATAAGGTCAAAGACCTTGGCACGCAGCTGAAGAGGGGGGGAAAGGGAGCAAGAGAGATGTGCAATTAGGCCAACAGCTGGGTTATTTCTGGAGCACTTACTTTAGTGCATTACCCTTGTCTTCCACCTGCAGCCACCTCTACCCTCCATTTTCACTTCTCTCTTCTGATTGGTGGTAGGGGCAGCAAAAACAGGGTAATCCCCTTACATAACTCTGCACAAACTTAACAATGCAGTTCAATTAAACTTTGGCGCATCTAAAAATAGAGACATAGGTCAGGTGAGGTGACGTCAAAAGAGGTGGAGGTCAGCAGAACACTCTATTTTTGGGACTCAT